CTAACCTTTTTCATTAGTTGATCTTCCTGAAATATCCTCGGTGACTTTGGGCTCAATTGTCTCTTCATGATGATCAACATTATCATCCTTCTTAGGAGATTCATTTGGGACAACCACTTTTTCCATTTCACCTCCTTTCACTAATTCCTCGTCTTTTTCGACATTTTCCTCTAAAAAGGCCTCGTCCCCTTTTTTCTCGACTACATTTTCATTTTTCTTTTCGACCTTTTTCTCGGCAAGATTCGCAATCTCGTCTCCAGATAATTTGTTATATTTCTCTTCATTTTCCTTCACATTTTCATTTGCATTGTTATTATTCTTCACATTGTTGTCGTTGTTTGCGGGCTTCTCAATTGGAGGATCATTTTTGTCTGAGTTTTTGCTTTTGCTTTTGGTGAGAGTGTTCTCTGTGGCAACAGCTTGCTTTGATTCCCCACAACCCATTGTTTTGTTTTAATTCCTTTTTCCCCTTTTTTTTATGAACTGAAAAAAAAAAAGAGAAAAAAATATTAGTTAACTGAAAGATGAAATACAATGGGAATGAGAGGGAATGAAATGGAATTGCTCTGTTTTCCTCTGGTTTTTATGTTTTCCTGCCTCAAGAGGTTTGGTTTAAACGGGAAAAGGGGCGCCGCATTTTTCGCTCGTATTTTGAAGGTCAAAAGTAATCAAGGAAAAATACCAGAATAATGATGGTCTATTATTATTAATCTTTGTAGTGTTGTATATGAAAATCACAGCTTAGACTTTTACTCGTCACATATGACAATTGTATTGGCAAGTGAAAATTCAACTATCACATATTTAAATCTTAATCATGAAATACTATTTTAATTTTTTAAGGGATAATTTCGTGTTATTTTTATTTTGGTTTTGGAAGCACATGTAGAGGTCCAAGGATGGAATATATTTAATTTGAAAAAATAAAAACGCAAACATTTTCTGCATAAAACAAACTTAGTTTTAAAAATAATGTTTGATTATAGTTTGTTATGTTTGATAAATTTAGCTCAATAAGTTAATTGATAGCTTATATAATTGAACTAATGTGTATCCCATGAGATGCACGAGTAAGTAATATCCACCCTATAGATAACTAGTACGTATCATGTGCGATGCACGAGACAAATATATTAAATGAGTTATTTTTGCATGTTCTGTCCGTTTAAGTCTAGAAAGTAATACATTTATCATCTATTTTACACCTCTTTTAATCAGCGTTAAGTCTAAAAATAATAGGGTTATTTGATCTATTTTCAGCTCTTTTAATCAGAGTTTTTTTTTAGCTAGAACATTAAATATGAGCATGTTAGGGCTAGCTTGTAAAATAATTAATATATTATCTCACTAGCACATTATACTAGTATAAATTTGATTTTAGTATATATTTATTCCTTGATATAAGAGAAAATAACAGTTTTACTTATTATTGTTCACCTTACAATTCTAAATTATTATTTTATTATAAACTTTGTTATCGTATAATGCTATTATTATTTATAAAAGTTATAGAAGTTGTACGTCTTCTTTTTCTATTTATTATATATAATGAAAAATACTTGATGCACATTAGTATTACTTATTTATGTAATCAATTTAAAATATGTAAATAAATTTAAAATTGGATAGTATAATTATTTTACAAAATATACACACATGTTTTATTAGAATTTAATTTTGTATACTAATTAAACAACTTTGATTTAGCAAATGCCAAAAACTCAATTCCTTATATAATCAAGATTTTTCTAATTTGCATTATAAGGATTAATAGTTTATTTAGCATACTCTGCAATAAAAATATATTTTACAAGAAGTTCACTACAGAAAGAAATTAAAATAAAAATGAAAAATAATAAAAAAAATAATCAAGGTTGCCAATAATATACAAATAAATCTAAAGAACAGTTATATATTTCAATTTTAGTTTTTGACCATTAGTAAAACTATTTAATGTATATGGTCATTATCTCTTAAGTGGTAAATTATATTAATTTGAGAAATAATTTATTCTTTTATATATAACGAAATAAAGCTTCAGAAAATATTATATGGACAAAGATTAATTCACCAACTTGATTTCGCTTGATTTTGGAAGAAAAAACCCGAAACCTGCTACGATTTTCTATAAATCAATATTTGTGAAAAAAACTAATATTATAGTTAGAACTTATAATATGTTGTAATATTTATCTTGACCAAAATATTATCGACATGAATAAGGAAAATCAACCTTGTAATTTATTATAATGGATATCAGTGAGAATATTGCTGATATTAATAAAACTATTTAAGAAAACAATATTTTTTTTATCATATCTAATTTGATCTTATTTAAAAATGTGTATATAGAAGCAATTAATGCATATATTTAAAAATTTCTAAAAAAAAAGACCAAAATTTTTTACTACTATTTTTGGTAAATGGTTATTCTTATTATATATATATATAGATATTGATTGCAGAATGCGTTGAGTCTAAGTGACATGCTCTCGCGCTTCGAAATCCTATGTGGCAAAAAATCATGCTTCGGAGTCAGACTTAGATATAAATTAATATTTTTATATAAAAATAAGTAGGTTTGAATTCATTTAATATCTTTATTATTCTCATCAAACCCTAAATTATTTTAAGTTTTCTTTACCTACATTACCATATATTACATTTCATTTTCTTATTGAATTCATACGTCAATTATTATAAGTGTTTATTCTTATTATTTTAAAAAAATTTTAACTTTTTTGGTTTGTATTATACTCTTCATATATGATATATCAAATATATATCTTTTGACGATCTTCGATTTGACATCTATATTTATATCCGATTTGGTATACATATTATTTATATAAAATACTAAACAATGATATATAGCCTTATAAATAATATTTAATATTATTTATCAAACTAAATTAAAATATATCAAATAAAATTATATTTTATCTTATAAAGCAAAAGAAATATTATGTGTATTAACATACCATAGTGTAGCTATTTTCATTAGAAAAAAAATATATAAAATAAGTATGAACATCAAATTAGTATTCCTATCGTTCCGAAAAAAAAAAGAACATCAAAGTAGTATAAAAAATTATTCTAAAAGTTTATGTCTCGACTTAAATAAATACTACATACAAATTGAACATTATGATCGTAAAAAAAGTAAATAAGAATTATGATTAAAATTATAAATATAATTATTTTTATTTTATACAGATTAAAATATTACATTTGATACACATTATATTTTACTTTATTGAATATTTTAAAGTTGAAGATATTTTCAAAAATATTAGATCAGGGAGGAAAACTGTATAAATATAAAATATAATTAAGTAGAAAAAAAGTAGTTCAAAATTGAATTATTGAGTTGTAGATATATCCCCCGTATATAAAATTTCAGAATGCATTGAGCGTAAGTGGCAACTTTGCACATTTTGTAATCTTATGTGGCAAAACATTATATGATTTATAATGTTCCTCGGATAAAAATTACTAATTTTTTATATCAAATAACTTAGGTTTGGATTGTCATATATAAACATATTTAATATATTTAAACTATTACATATAAATCTATTTATTATCTTATTTCTACAATTTTTATAATATCTTACTTTCCAAATTTGTGCTTTATTCATAGTATTCTCTAATGTGTTTTAAATAAAAATATTATTAATAAAACTAATGTTGTATATAAATTAATTTTCAGAATTTAAAATAACATTGTTAATTCAGTTAGTTCATTATTATAAATTGTTACATATTGTTCTTTATTTATTTTTTTCAACTCCAACAAAATATGTAAATATTTTTTTTCTTTCAAGTTTTATTGTGCATTTAATTATTTTATCAAACACCCGTGTAGTACACGGGTACTGTACTTGTTAAATAATAACTACAGATTAAAGATGAGGGTAAAAAATATTAAATGTAATTATAAATTAAAGATTTGATGTTAACATGTGATATATAATTTACGTATATCAGTTTCTTGTAAACAATATAAAATTATCTTGTAACATAAAACATATATGTTTAAAATATTAAAAACACCAAAAATATGATATAACATATATTAAAAATCTAAAATATTTTACATTATTCTTGAAAATTTTGAAGCACCTACAAATTTTCTAAACTATTTTGTAATGACAAAATGTCGACCAGAGCTACAGATCGAACAGAGAGTCCTCAAGTCTACGAGGACGTTGCAGGAAGAGGTATCACTAACATGTCGAGCTAGGGTCCTAGGATGGCCTGGTAGAAACTCGATTTGTAAGGATGCTGGTCAAAGGGTCGACCTAGGGGAAAGCACATGAGCCTAGCATGAAAAACGCTACCTCATAATGACGAGAGTTTGACCTTACGATTAGATCGTCTAATGAGGAAGACTAATGGATAAGAGAGGATTTAATTAAGATAAGAACCACACGTGGATAAGGCCACTTAGCCTAACAAAATTGGATAGCTTGGTCGATGTAGGCAGTATGATTGGGCAGCTCGGGCAGTCTCCCATTTGGGCAGCCTTGGGCAACAAGGTAACACCTCTATATAAAGAAGTGATGTATATTCATTTACACTCTACTATCTTTACACACTCTACTATACATATAGAGCTTTAAATCTATTGTTCACCATCTTCATGAATGTGGATTGATTTGATCGTCGGAAAGCTAACGCCAAGAACTCCTCCCGGCTCAATTTGTAGGCCTATGAACATGTTCGGAAGTAGACCAGGTAGTGCAAACCGGACAGATGTCTTTAGCATAACATTTTGACGCCGTCTGTGGGTAAATAGTTCAAAATGTCGTCACACAACCTCAGCCATGAGGAGCGAAGGCCCCTGAAAAAATTAGAGCGTACTCTTGACTACGCGTGGACCATCACGCGACCACTCAAAGCAGGCACGCCCTCGGGCTTCTCTGGGCCGTTACGACTTACGGATCTGAGTGTCGCGTGGTAAGAGGGGACAAAATCTTGCAAAGATGGAAAATATATCTCGCTAAGGAGTCTAAGATTCTAGAGACATGGTAAGCTGGGAAAGTATATATAGTTAGATCTCTTTTATAGTCAGGAGTATAATTGGGCAACAATACGCCCTAGTGTATGTAAATGGTGATAAGGTTTTGCTTTATTAATAACACATTCTTTACGCACATATAGTTTAGTATTTAGACATTTGCCACGAGTACTGAGTTGAGTGTCAGAGGTTTTTCAGTCGAGACCCTTTCCTGGAGTATTACAAGTCAGCGGAGCTCAAGCATGAAGGACATTTGTGAAGACTTCCAGTTTAACCCGATCCGAAGATAATATGCATATCAGTCTTCTCACCTACTCGTGCTCATAGAGGAGCTCGATCTTCATGTCTTCTTATCAGGCCGACCTGTACCCCGAGCTGCATAAGTGAGCTCCTTGACGAGGTTAAACACTGATACCGAGCT